ATATAAGGTTGTGAGCGTTTTAGACTAGAAAATCAATCATGAACACCAAAGTGAACTTATTTGAATTGTTATTTCATTTGAGATCTACTAAAAAGGTGTTAAGTAATATAAAAAGTGTAACCGAATTCTTCTTAAAATTCTTCGAAAACGGCTGGGCCAAATAAAGAACAATAGGCTTTCGGCAAATGATGCGGTGGTCTAGTGGTTAAGACCTTCGTCCATCAATCCTAGGACAAATGTTTCAAGTCCTGGCAATGCAAAAAAATTGCCTTAAAATTGGGGTATGATTTGTAAACTTACAGAAGTTAAGACTTTCAGTCTTTAAGAAGACCGTAAATTTGCAAGAAATTGGAAGTAAAAAAAATTGAGAAACATTTGGACAACTCTTGGCTTCAAAAAAAGTACTTGAAAATTCACAAAAAGACACAAGTGAAAAAAAATTTAGAGACATATGTCTCCTAAAAAGACCGAAAAAAAACTTCAAAAAAAGTTTACAAATTTCCGGCTTTTAAAACTATGTTACTTACCTTGATAATTTTTTTTCACGAAAATTTGACAGGGTGATTTTCTCGAGACTGAAAAAAATTACTTTTTTTCACTTTTTTGAAATTCTCCGAGATTTTCAAAAAAGTGAAAAAAAGTAAATTTTTTCAGTCTCGAGAAAATCACCCTGTCAAATTTTCGTGAAAAAAAAATTATCAAGGTGAGTAAACATTAGTTCAAAAGCCGGAAATTTTTAAACTTTTTTTAAAGTTTTTGGTCAGCCATTTTTTAATTTTCAAGTCTTTTTAGGCGATACATGTCTTTAAATTCTTTTGGCTTTTGTTTTTTTTGTCAATTTTCAAGTACTTTTTTGAAGCGAAGAGTTGTTCAAATGTTTCTCAATTTTTTTTAGTTTCAATTTCTTTCAAATTTACAGTCTTCTTGAAGAGTGAAAGTCTTAACTTTTTTAAATTTACAAATCATACCGAAATTTTAAGGCAATTTTTTTTGCATTGCCAGGACTTGGAACATTTGTCCTAGGATTGAGAGACGAAGGTCTTAACCACCAGACCACCGCGTCATTTTTCGAAACCCTATTGTTCTTTATTTGACCCAACCCTTTTCGATGAATTTTAAATTAAATAGCAAATTCGGTTAGACTTTTCTAGATTACTTAATATCTTTTTGGTAGGATCTCAAATGAAATCACAATTTAAATAAGTTCACTTTAACGTTCATGATTGATTTTCTCGTCTAAAACGCACACAACCTTATATAAAGCATGCCTGTTCCTTAGAACACTATCTTTCCATAAGTTGGTTATATGCGGCGCAAGTGAAGCTAATGGTTACGGTGCGATTGTTTTGTATTTTTGATGAAGTGAAGTCAAAGTAAAGTACAAGAGTTAACAATGCATTTCAAAATAGGTTTGAAAGAAAAAAAGTACAAGAATTAAGAATGTATTTCAATGTGTATAACGCGTATAGTCATGAGGCAGCAAGCATGCATGCACCTCGTAGTCTCGTAGATTACATCTGAAATCGCGATTGCATGAAGCAAATATCAAGTAAAGCAGATATTGACTATGTATTTCAAGATTTTGTTGTATAAAGAGTCGAAATACTAACTTGTCTGGGCGGTTCGTCGAATATAAAATACGCTAAGAAAAAGAAGTTCAGTTCAAAAGAGCCATGTCCGCACTCATCCGCGGTAACAAACAAACAGCAGCTCAACAATATTACGGCAACGATTCATAATTATTTCATTTAAGAGTTCTTCGAAGAAACGATTAAGTGAAATAAAGAACAATAGCTTATCGACAAACGTTGTGGTCGTCAAGTAGTTGTTAAGACGTAGGTCTCTTCAGTCCAAAGGTTCAAGTATTAGATTAGCGTATTTTATATTCGACGAACCGGCTAGACCAGCCAGTATATCGACTTTTTATACAGCACTGAAAGTCTTGAAATAAATAGTCGATGTCTGTTTAACTGGATATTTGCTTCATTTGTGATTTCAGATGTAATGCTTGTAAGCTTGTTGCCTCATGACTATTCGAGATATATACATTTGGTCGAGTTCATCAGTATTAGAGACGATGAATCACCGACGCGGGTTTATCGTCCGAATTTTTCCGTCTAACTTCCCCCTCTAGATTAAGAGACGCCGGGAAAGTTGGACTGGAATCCCGTCTGGAAGAGAAACTCGTCTTAAATTCGCATTTTGACGGATAAATCAGACGAGCTTCAGAAATATCCGCACGGTCAAGAACGGAACAAGGCTAAGCCAAGGAAAATATATAAACACAATTATTATCCACCCATGCAGTATACGTATAAATTTTCCATATCCCAATTCACATTCAGATGGGTTTTTACAACTATCAACTTCCCCGTCTAGATAAGTATTCGGTTATCCTTAACTCTTGTACTTTTTTCTTTTAAACCTATTTTGAAATGCATTGTTAATTCTTGTACTTTACTTTGACTTCAGTTCATTAAAAATACAAAACAATCGCACCGTAACAATTAGCTTCACTTGGGCCGCATATAACCAACTTATGGAAAGATGGTGCTTTAAGGTGCCGTATACCTGTATGTGATACCTCAGCGATAACACAAATGGCTATTATCAAGTTACAAGCTATAGCTTTGTACGAATAAGATACAGTGTGTGAGATTTGAGAAAATAAATCATGAACATTAAAGTGAACGAGCGCATTTAAATTGTTATTTCATTTGAGATCCTACCAAAAGGTATTGAGTTTCGTCAAAAATGCTTCCAAAAAAAGGATTAAATAATAACTGCAAGAACTGGTGGTGTCGTGGTGAAGACGATCATCTGCCAAGTATACAGTCAATGGTTCAAGTCCTGGATAAACCGAAAAAGAACAAGTTAATAAAGCGAGAATTTGTGAGTGTGAGAGGAGTAAAGCGAGAGGGCGAATATGCCCTCGCCGAATATGCCCTCGCCTTGCGCGAAGAGTAGACTGAGGGGGGTTGTCTTTCCCCCGCCTATCCTGACTTTCAAAGCAAGCTTTCTTCAAACATTTAATTGTGTTAGGGGATAGTTAGGGATATCTGAGGATAGGAAAAAGTTGGGATGGATAGGAGTAAATAGGAGGATAAAAAGGAGTAAAGAGGTTTAAATGAGTACAAAAAGACTTAACTTTTTATATAGTGTTTTCTCAGCTATACTCTCCTGCACCTCGGGAGCCGAGGCTGCCCAATTACTAAGTCTTTTTGTACTCATATATCCCTCATTCACCCTATCTACCCCCTGATTTCTTTAAAGATTAACTTTGATTTCCAAAGATTAACCGAGTATAAACCTCCCCGAGCAACAAACCTACCATATTTTTTTACCGCCATGAGAAACGTACCATTCTGTTCTTGATACCTCGGTATTGTACGTGATAGTGCACGATTTTACCACAAGTCTAACGGGTGATTGTTGGAAGCCCACACTAACTTATTCTCCATAACCTTACTATGTAATATTGATAGCGAAAATTTTCATCTAAAACGAGATTCGAACCTTCAACTGTCGACACATAACACCAATAACCTGACCACCACACTACAAGATCATCGGTTGAAAGGCTATAGTTATTTAATTTACTTTATCCTTTTCACGAAGTTCATAATGAAAAACGGTTATGGTAAGATTCGAACCATCGATTTATCACTTGGGGCCTTGGGGGACCATTGTCTTCAACACTAGACTACAAGATCTTGTGCTGAACGGCAATGGTTATTTAATTTACTTTATCCTTTTCACGAAATTCATAATGGAAAACGGTTATAGTGGGATTCGAACCATCAATTTACCACTTGGGAGACCACTGTCGTCGCCACTAGACTACAAGATCTGGTGTCGAGCGGCTATATTTATTTAATTTACTTTATCTACTTCACGAGGTTCATAATGAAAAACGGTTAAGGTAGGATTCGAGAATAACGTACATAAGAAAATAATGCACACAAAAGATGCATGAAGGTTTATTAGAAATAATGATTTTGACCAAGAAGAAGCCATAGAAACTGCACTTGATAAGAGAAAGTTTCTAATTAAGAGGCTTTTAAACGACCACGAGATTGAAGATGTGAAGGAAGATAAAGGCAATGATGATGATGATGATGATGATGATGATGATGATGATGATGATGATGATTATGACGATGATGATGAAGATTAGAATTTTAACTTAGTCAAATGGTTTACTAAACCTTTCTTAATTAAGGAAACCATGGCAAACGAGCAAAAAGCGATAAAATAACTAATTGCAAGGCACTGAAATAAATGTTAAAATCGTTACGAGCAAAAAGCGATAAAATAACTAATTGCAAGACAAATAAATGTTAAAATCGTTAATCCATGTCTGGAATTTTCTTCTTCCCTCCGCTAGTTCATACATTAATTTTCATTTTATCGACAAAAATTTCCCATGGGCCTGAAATGGGCAGATAAGCAATTACGAGCATGTGCTCATCTGCTCATCGCACAAAATTTGAAACCGATATTCCACCTACTATTACGCACACAGTTGAAACAATAAGAAACAGTTCACAAGTCTGACGAGAGCAGTCATCACAAAGCATACATAATATATTGAATTAAAAATTAACGCTTAAAATAAACAATCTTGATTATGCATTTAAAATAATGGCGTTTGCATCGAAAGAAAGTGTTGGATTAATAACTTGAGTAAAATATTTTCTTCCTGAATCCCCTGGTGTGTAATATTTGTGAGCAAACTAACCAGGGGAGACGTCGCAATGCAACGCTTTTGGCATAATTAAATATATCCACATTAATCGCTCTATAGTCTGATCAATTCATTATTTATCGCAGTGTCGCTAACATTAAAAGAGTCAGTGTTCTATTAGGTTATGCATTAAAGCAAAGAATTAGTAAATTGAGTAAAATAATTTTCTCCCGAATCCTTAGTTCATATATATTCGAATAAACCAGATAGATGAAACATTATCATCGCATTCATCCGATAAAATAAAAATTAAAGTATGAACTAACGGTGGGAAGCATCGCACAGCATACATAGGAAACGAACTTTAAAATAAACAGTTCTAATGGTAAAGTATTCATTTTGACATACGTACTAAATGTGTAACCTGACAAATAAAATATTTTCCTCGCAAATCCTTACTGTGTACTTAATTACGGTTTAATAACGTCTCACTCCCACGCTGCGTGGAGACCACGCATATCTTCGGGGGAGTCCGACAGAAAGTCCACGCTGCGTGGAGACCACGCATATCTTCGGGAAAGTCCGACAGTTTCCGACGTCCCGCGTGGGGTCCACGCGGTGCGTGATTTCCTCGCTATATGCGGGAGGGGGTTACCTACTTTTTTCCACTTCATTGATCACCGAGAGTGGATCGCAGTACATCGTCGATAACTGATTACGACGCCACATCGACCTAGTCTTAATTTATGCAATTAAATGTTAAAAAGATTACAAAGATTACAATAAACTACCGAAAACTTGAATTCTCTATGTCAGCAATGGTTTCTCTTTCCTAAAAGCAATCCTTAAATCGTTGTAGGTTTCGTACCCGGTTTCTTTGGTTACTATTTCTTGGAATTGCTTTTGAATGGCTTCCTGGATGTCTTCAGATAGGAATTTTAGAGCTTTATCCACTGATCCTGTAGCGACTTTTGTGCTAGTGACTCCTTCTGGGATACCAATCTCCTTGTTACGATAAAAAGCAAGGAGGTTATCGTCGAATTTGTTTTCATTTGCCTTCATAAACTCGAACGTGCTCATCCTGATCGCATTTCGAATTCTTTCCTCGTCGTGTATTCCCATAAACAAAGCGATGGCCATGACAGCTGTTTCCAGGTCTTCTTTCATTTCCTCATAGAACAAGAACAGCACGTTTGGGTCGTTCCTGTGTTTCCACCAACTGATAAAATGCTCGAAATACGAGGCGTGTTCCATTTCGTCTCTTGGTTTGCCGTGCGCCAAATAAAAATTCAAGACAAATTCGTCCAAAGAAATTTTGCCCGGCTGAAAGAACCAACCCTTCATGAACGTGAACAAACTGTAGGTCACAGCGCGCGGTTCCCTGAAAATCGCAATGTATTTTCCTCCTTTCGGGCAGTGATCATACCATGTGTGGGACTTGTAGCACCTGGTTTAGACAAGGAAACAGTTGACCTAAATTGCACACAGATATGCATATGCGGACATGTATGCTATTCCTTACTCCGTTATGGGAGTATATAAAGGTTTCATAAATTCTTCAGGTAACGGTTTCTTTAAACATTTCACAGTAACGTTCTGCGTAAAAATTCCTTAACGGCCTATAATTATAGGAAAGTGCAGGCATGAAACTTAATGGGAAAGTCTAGGCATAGACTCGTTGGTCATGACCCGAAAGCCTCAATACACAGGTGTACATATGGGGCGGAATGAGAAGGTGTCACAATCCTAAATTAAAATCAGTCGGCAGATGTTATTAGACTTTTGGAAAACGAGGACTAAACAAAAAATTGACGGATAAATCAAATACAGTGTAAATATAAATTATAACTTGAGAATGAAAACCGTTCAATTCAAGATTTACACACGTTACAATGATTCAACTTCGTGTAGCAGCATTGTTGTAGCGATCAGTAATACGTGGCCCGCATTCTTATAAGCAGAACCTATGTGCAAACCCCACTCTACATTACCTTTAGTTTGCACATTTTACACCGCGGAAAAACCTCTGCGCATGCGTCAAAGCTGTCCGTAATTGGCAATAAAAAGCGGTTCCAAACGTTTTCAAAGACTCAAAATGGCGGTAAACTGGAAAGAGTGACTACATTGTGAGTCTTCAAAGCCATATTAAAAGCGCATATTTTTACATTGCATTCTAGAAACAAAGAGTGAAAACGGCCAGTAAGTTCACGAAGTTGCACCCTAGAACTTGAGCTAATCGTGATTAAAAAATTTATCCTCTTAAACATTTTGTTTATCACATAAGCCAAGACAGTTTCCAGATTTTTATTTTAGACACGATTTTTAAAAGAACATTTGTTGCCATGCAATTCTCTTGGACCTGATGGCTTTGAATTGACGCATATTATAGAAGGAACGCGTCGAAATACAGTAGGAGGCAAAAGTTTGAGTCCAGTCGTTGTAGAATTCCAGTATTAAATCCTGGCAGCGTATTGGAGTTAAGACATGCGTGCTAGTGTTTCAGTACTGTAAACTATATTAATTGCACACTGTTTTGGTCCTAATGATCTAAATTATAACAAAATAAAGTTCTCATTCCTTTACACTGCCCAAGATGGGTAGGAAAAAGGGCAAAGTGATGGTGCACAAGGACAAATAGTTCCATTAAGTATTGAAGGATTCTTTCCTCGTAAGATCGCAGAAGAAGTGAGAATTTAAAAAGGTGGTATGCAACTAACCTTGGAGAGGTTCGAAGAAACTAAATCCTACTCAAGCAAACTTTTAGCTGCTTTGGTCATGCTCGGTTTGGCAATATTGAAAGATATAATAGGATCCTAATTAAAGAAAAGTATCATCCAATTCTTCAAGGACATGGAATTTCATCTGGTACAAAGATGATCGCACGTCTAACTACATGATAATCACCCTAAGCACATGCACATCTTCTGTGTGCCAGAAATCGTTTAGAAGCAAACTCATTCTGGTGATCTCGTTGTCATGGCTTTCCACCTCATATTCCAGATCTAAAACCTATGGAGCACTTGTAGAACCGTTTTAACCGGAAGAGGGCGAGGCACAGACCCGCCAGCCAGGCTGACTTGAGGCAAGTGGTCAACGAATGCTGGCAAGGTATTGAACGTGTGACATTAAAAAACCTATGGAATCTATGCGAGCAAGAATAAAGGTCATTTCAAGAGCAAAAAAGAGGGAACTAAGCAATGACATGTAAATGCATGTTTGCACATTAAAATACGTAAAAATGAATATCATAACATCTCATAGTTGTTGTACAGCATGTATTTTTCTGTTTACTTGTTTACTTTTTTCTAGTTCACTTATCGGTAAGGTTTTCTGTAGAATATTAATATATGCTGCTGAAACAAAGAAATACAGTCACTGGACTCAAACTTTTGCCTCCTACTGTATATCATAGTATTGGACCAATGCCACCTGCGGAATGTATTTATGAGTCCTGTGACAATGAAGAGATATATAATCAGCCATAAACTATAACAGAAATCAAGCTTCAGATACATTAATATTAATTTTCTCCAATATCTGTTGATAATGTCGCCTCGACTGATCAAAGAGTATGTAAAGCTATACTGGTTGGATAAAATTCCTGCTAAAATACTAAAATTATCTGCAAACATAATTGCACCCTCGCTGACATTCATCTTTAATTTGCTGCTTATAACAGGTATATACACGAATGGAACCGACCACATGTAACGCCAATATTTAAATCAGGGGATAGAAAGCAATGTGAAAATTATCGGCCTATTTCTATTTTAATAGTGGTGAGCAAAGTTTTTCAGAGGGAAATTTTCCGTCAGGTACATAGTTACTTGTCGAAAAATTTCCTATTGACAAAGTTTCAATCTAGTTTTCGCCCCAGGCACTCAACGGTGACTGCCCTCATCCAAATGTGTGATGAGTGGCTAGAAAATATGGATAATGGCAAGTTAAATGGTGTTGTGTTTTTAGGTATAAAAAAGGCATTTGACTCTATAAACCATCGTATCTTGTTAAGCAAAATGAATAAGAAACTTGGAACTTTTGGCATTGAACTTAAATGGTTCGAGTCATATTTAACTAAGAACAATGTAATGTTAATAGGGGGGTTACCTAATTATAAAACTATTAGGCCTACCTGCATGTGGTTCAACTTCTATTTTTACTATATTTCAATGATTTGCCAGAATGTTTGAAATCAACTACCCCAGCCATGTAAGCGGATGATACCCAAATCGTCTCATCCTCTTTGACGATGCAAATGAACTTATATTATAAGGTTTAATTCGGATCTTGTCCATGTATGTAACTGGCTTAAAGAGAGTAGGTGCAGATAATGTCAAGATACCTAATGACCACACCGTCTTCGGGGATCCTTCGTGAGAATAGAAATAGATCAAATCGAGGATCAAACTAATTAACACATCCGAAGTTCCGCAACATGCAGACCTCAATTCCTCCTAGGCCGAATGGAGAATATCTTAAAGTTTTTAATATGGCGGCTCACGCGTCTGTGGGCCCACTTTAAGACGTTTTCCAAAAGAATAAAAAAATCCTTGCATTTACTTTGTAATGAAGCAGCGACGGCGTGTGACTCACCTTGGGTTCGCACGTTGCTCTGCTTCGAGGTCCAAGTGCAGGTCGTGAGAAGATTCAATATATGGAACAACTTCGGTACAAGTGCTTGTGTACGTCATATATATTAAATGGTATTTGAGCGTGACGTATATTAGACATGCATTCGTTCATTTCGTTGCAATTCTTTTGGTCTCTTGGACCTGATGGCCTCATTGACGCATACAGGGGCGCAACTCCTGGTGGTGTAACACCCCTCTAATATCCACTACTGATAGATAATAAACACAACAGTGACAAGACAAACATCTAGACGGCTGCGTAAAATCGCACGTTTAAAAAATGTACGGGAAATGACGAATGTTCTGTCAGTTTGCTTGCGTTTACACACAGACGAACTGAATGAAGAACTTGCTTGCCCAAGTTATCGCCTTTTTGCGCCTGTACTTGCGTGCATGGAAACCATGACACAAGATGAAGAAATGTATATTATTATTCGAAAGCAACCATGAAACGCTTCGTTTCGCATATACTTATTGTTTATTATTCATGGTTGACATGTTTGTCGAACTATTAATCAAAATACGTCATGATCACGCTCCATACTTGAACGCAAAATGGTATTAATACGAGTCGATATTACACATAGATCACACATAGATCAGGACTGTATTGCCAGTTAGCAAATGCAATCTGCAGACAGCACCACAGATAACATCGACAGCACCATCTCTGTCGACCAATGACAATAAACATCACCACTTCATCACAGCAGAATGTAATTAAAACCCTTGTGGCAATCATTGCGAAACCTCTTTCACGAGCAGTCATAGAATCATCACCGTCAGACTTTCGGTTAAAGGTCTGAATCTTGTTTGCGCTTCTGCTTTTCTCTCTGGGCCTTGTAAATTTGAACTTCTTTCGAGCACACGGACCACGGTGTTGCATAGAGAAGGCATGGAACTCATGGTGCAAAAGGTTTATTCCCTTCAAACCGAAGAAGGAAGAATGAAAGGTTTACGTTTCAAACCTCGGCCGTCCGATATCATTATCGTGACTCCGCTAAAATGTGGCACAACATGGGTACAGCAGATCGCACATCAGCTGAAAACCGGCGGGGATATGGATTTCAAAGAGATCACCGAAGTTGTTCCTTACATTGAATCCGCTCACGATATGCACTTGGACCTTGAAGCAGAACAACGTGCGAACCCAAGGTGAGTCAATATTTGTCGTTGAAGCTGCTTGTCGTTTATTTTTTGCAGTCTGCAGAAACGTCTTCGCAAACTTTGTAATATATAATATACCATGGAAAAGATAAAAGAATGTGACATTATATATAATGGCTATATAAGCCCCGTTTACACTACACTCGATTTATTGGCACGGCACGGCTAAAATGGGTACCAGTGCCCAATTTTATTAGTGCTCAAGCCAGCAAAATAACGGCTACCAATTCTAGCCGGTCCTGCTAATAAATTGAGTGTAGTGTAAACAGGGCTATAGTCAAACACGAAGTAGGCAGTCTGAGTCATTGCACCCAAACCAGGACTGTAAATAGAAGCTTAAAGGGATATGGCAATAAAAGTTATTTCTGTTTTGTTGAAAAGAAAATTTGCACTTCTTATAGAGCCTTTTTAGAAAATTTGTTTATCTTTCTTACTTCGCAAGATATTGGCGCTCAAAATATCGAGATATATCCACCATATTGTTTTATTATGAGATCTAATTACGTGACGTCAAAAGCAGGGTTGACGCTTAAAAAAATAACAAAGCCAATTACATGTTTACAATTTAGTTTAGAACTCTTCCAATTTAAACGTTATAATTTGAGATACGTGCGATTGTAATACCATGGAATCGAACTATCTCTTCGCCGAATCGATCATTTGAAGTTACAATACGAATTTTCACCCAGCTTATGACGTAACGCATTACGCATATCAGGGCAAGAATATGCATATCCAAAATGGCGGATGGAAGATAATTTAATTGATGGAAGATAATTTAATTAAATATCTTGAGAAGTAATAAAGTTAACAAAAATCCGTGAACGAATTTTGTAAACAATCATGACGTTGTGTTAAAATAGACAAAGATAATTTTTATTACCGCATCCTTTAATTGGGGGAGGTGCATATTCGTATTATGACCCGGTATTTAACCATGAATCCTGTATTCTGATTGGTTGACGAGAGGTCCGTAAAAACCCATATCCGGAGATATTTGTGTATTTTTGTGTTGCGGCGGGAATGTGTAACTAATTCGGTTTGTAAAAACTTGTCACCCTATGAGCCTTTACCTTCTGTGGTGAGGCTTAAGGCCCACACAGACAGGACGCGAATTGGCAACGCGGCGCGAATTTTCAACGTTTTATATTTTTCAAAAGCAAATAAATTTTAAGTTATCAAAATTTTCTTGTAGATTGCATTAAAATAATAAATTTTGATTGGTCTAGGCGTCCATAGATTCCAAATTTTGATCCCAGAATTTAATTTATATGCTTCTGAAAACTGAAAATTTGCGCCGCGTTGCCGCTTCGCGTCCGGTCTGTGTCGGCCTTTATGCATCTATCTATATCTTCATGCATCTATCTGTATGCATACTTTTCTAACTTATTTTCTGTTTAAACCATGCAGATGCTACAAGAACCACACATGGTACGATCACTGCCCGAAAGGAGGGAAATACATAGTGATCTACCGGGAACCGTGCGCTGTCGCCTACAGTTTATTCAAGTTTATGTATGCTTGGTTTTTTCAACCGGATGAAATTACCCTTGAGCAATTCATCTTGAACTTTTTCTTGGTGCTTGGCAAACCACAGAGCGAGATGGAGTACGCCTCTTATTTCGAGCATTTCATAAGTTGGTGGAAGCACAGAAACGACCCAAACGTGCTGTTCTTATTCTATGAGGAAATGAAAGAAGACCTGGAAACAGCTGTCAAGGCCATTGCTTTGTTTATGGGAATACACGACCAGGAAAGAATTCAAAATGCGGTCAGGATGAGCACGTTCGAGTTTATGAAGGCAAATGAAAACAAATTTAACGAGAACCTCCTTGCTTTTTATCGTAACAAAGCTTGTGGTATCCCGGAAGGAATCTGTAACACAAAAGTCGCTACAGGATCAGTGGACGAAGCTCTAAAAGTTCTACCTCAAAACGTCCAGGAAGCCATTCAAAAGAAATGGCAAGAAATTATAACCAAAGAAACCGGGTATGAAAGTTACGACAAGTTGAGAGTTACTTTCAGAAAAGAAAAACCATTGAAGATATAGTCTATTTAACGACGTTAGAGTATTTTGTTTTTATCATTGTAATCATTTCACTGAGAAATACGCATGGTCGATCTGCTCTCGTCATGCAGTCCAATTAGCCCTTTTACTCATGCTCGTTTCAACGATTTTTATTATGCACTCGTTGCGAAGGATCCTTCACAATTCGTGCATAAAAATCGTACGCACTCGCCAACCATGAAGTAATCTCTGTTTACGCACTTACGGTGATTCCGCAGTTTTGCATTGCGGATAAAACTTGAGGATAACTTTTACTTACATGGCATGTTAATTTTGAACGATTAAACCCAAATACTTTGCATTTATATAGGAAGTGGTCAGTCATTCTTGACATAAATTACGGTTGATATAGTTATACCAAATAAACCAAAATCACAAAAAATGTTTTTATAACAATTTATAACATGCATGCATGTATATAGCTATCTAACTTTTTGACGCTGTAAGTTTTATAAAAACATTTAGTTAACAATCAACATTTCTAATTCTCAATCCCAAACTAGCTCATCCCAATGGGTATTACGTGCTTTCATCAGAGGCCGTGGTGTTTTGGTGAGATTTTGAACGCCGTTTGTGTTTTTTATGTTTCTTTTTTGACTTACGACGACGTTTAGACTTGTCAGACACGGGACTCGCAGAAATCTTAGGACTTCGAGATTTTCGGGTTGAAGTTTTGCTATCGTTGTTACCATTTTCATCGGCAAGACAAACGCCATTACCTTCCTCGACTTTGACATCATCTTTTCTCATCTTCCTATTGGCGACAGACGATCTAGAAGGCGAATCTCTTCGATCCCTCTCAGAGCTCCTACTTTTACTACGTTTTCGTTGCCTTCTGCGACGACGATGTTTATCGTCAAAATCATCATCACTGGGACTTTGAGACCTGCTTCTATGTCTCCTTCGTCTGTCCCTAGAATTTGTATCGTATCGGTAAGAGTCCCGTTCACCATTCCTGCTACGATTTCGATCGCTAGACAGCCTTGATTTATCGTCCGAGGAATGCCTCCTGTCTCGCTCCTCGTAGTAGCATCGGCCATTTCGAACATGGCGAAGATTCTCGGAGCGCTGCTCGGACCAATCATCAGGGTTGCGGTAAACGTGTAGGAAATTGCAGTTCTTACCGCGAGGACATCGATTTTGTGCAAACAGTCCTGAATGGTATGATACACGATTACATGTTATCTAAATCTATAGGCTATTGGCCTGTTTTATGCAAGCTTTAATTCTATTCACATTCTCAGTTTTTTTATAGCGCAAAATCAAATTCTTATAAGAAAATACAAAACAAATTCAGAACAAACTATTTATTTAATGAAATTATTTATATATCTCCCTATCAAATGTAGCTAAGTAGGTAATGTTTGAAACATCGATCCGATTTTCCGAATGTTCTATACCCAGAGACGGCCTTCATTTGAAGTGTCGTTTCAGTTTAACGATATAACCATATAATTATTTTACTGCATTATAGTTCTTTGACAAAATGATTAGGCATCTCGCATACTAGCTATAGTGTGACTAACAAAGAAAACTCACCACAAATGGCTGATTTCCAGTTTGTTACCGGAGAAAACTCGCACGATAGCTGTCTACCTGCATACCAGCGACCATTAAAGTCGGCAAATGCCTTTTGACAATCTTCTTCACTGCAAATACAAAAAACCAGGATAACAACCTCGGGTCTAGTAATTAAGTCACTGATCTGGATGCTGTGAGTAAGTAAGCTGCTTTCGCACGACTTTCTTTGGCAAAAATGGGGCGGTTGACATTTAGAGATTGGAAACGGGATTTATATCAGGCCCACGTATAAAACTCGTATCTTGCTTTCTGAGAATATTTTCTCTGTATAATGCATGCATGCATGTTAAAGGTGGATTTGTAGGCTACTATATCGACGCTTAATTTGTATCAAATATGGACAAGTCTATGTATGCAGCATGGGTTTTAGTGACATGCATGTATATCCAAATATACTTGAATATCATTCATATATGAATTGTATAAGAACCATACCATGTATACTGCACGTAGACATTTCCGCGAAGATGAGGTTCATAATTACAACAAACCTAGAAATAAATTTATATAATAACATGTATATAACGCTGATTGGTCGACGCTCGCGTGTTCATTGATAAGGGCATCCAAACACGGAAATTTAATTCAATTATTGAAATAAAACTTGAAAGGCTGCCTTTTTGTTTTTATTTTATATAAAACAATTACTTAATGGTTTCCGTGTTTGGATGGCCTGATCCAAACACTTGGAAGAAAAGCTAAGAAAAGCTCACATGAAAATCATTCGCCTTCGGTTCGTGTTTCGCGTGTCTCGCAACATTCCCATGCAAGTGTTTGGATCAGGCCATCCAAATACGGAAACCTTTAATTGTTTAATACCTACCTTTCCAGTGGCGTATGAATATATATGCGCCCCATGCATGTTTTCAGCTCAATGCACGAATGCTGATTGATTTCCACTGAACGTGGAAAATGGCCCAAAGTTTATACGACGCATGCATGCATGAAGAAAATTTTCCGCTTCGCGTTAGTCTGCTGCCGATCTTCGGTATATGTGTTTATATACACATAAATATATATAGGTGTATACTGACAAAGTCAGCCAATAAGAATGGTGTATTTTGAAGTCAACTATATACCGGGTGTCCCAGAAAAAGTACCTATTTTTAATTCAACATAACTTGTAAGTGAACTGAAGAATTGCAATCAAATAATCCATATTAAGTGGAGTAATGTCTAACTTAAAGTTTGATATATTACATATGAAGTTTGAACGAGTAGTGTCTGAGATATTCCCGTTTAAAGTCGCAGCAACGTTTTGAAACTTGTCAAAAATCAGGAAAAAATGGGCTATTAAACTTGTTTTAACAATACCGGTTCGTAACATGGTGTCTTGTAACTTATTTTTTATTTTTCTTTAAAATCGTTTTTTACTTGTTCTTATTCATCTGGAAATTCATGTCCACCAGCAGCAACACACTTTCTTGCCCGTGTCAGCATGCCATCAAAAGACCTTTGAATCATGTGGGCGTCCAAATTGCAACATGACCTAACAATGGCCTCGCGATGTTCTCCCAAGTTTTGAGGTTGTTGGTTATGAGGAGCTTCCCAAATCTACTGCTTTAAATACCCCAGAGGAAGAAATCACACACCGTCAGGTCAGGGGAGCGTGGAGGCCATGGCCAATCGCCGCGTTTACTCATGAGTCGACCAGGAAATTGCCCCTGTAGACATCGGATTGTTGCGTTTAACAAGCCATTTTTTGCTGATTTTTTACACATTTCAAAACGTTACCGTGTCTTTAAACGCAAATATCTCGGAAACAACTCGCTCAAACTTCATATGCAATATATCAAACTTTAAGGTAGACATTACTCAACTACACATAGATTATTTGATTGTAATTCTTTAGTTCGTTTATAAGTTATGTTGAATTAAAAATAGGTACTTTTTTTTGGGACACCCGGTATAGCTATATACGATGTACCAAGGTATAAAAAATGTAGTAAAAGGGTTTTATAAAACCGGCCCATGACAACAGGTATCCGTCACAGTATCCCAGGAGAAATGCATAGTAGTATGTGCATGTTGTCTGTACCTTAAACTGCAATAGCCGTCCACTCTTTTCGAACTCGGGATGCACGTCATCGTAAAATTCCAGGAAATTTTTGTAAGCATCCTGCTCATCAAACTATAGAATACACAGTTATCACGCAAATTTTAGCTATCAATGACTAAAGTCGCCAATTCTAGAAAGATGCTAAGCAAAATCTATATGTTGCCTAACAAAAAGAAAAGACTAGAAATGTTGTGCGTATTTGTATCTATACATTTAACTGCATTTTGTCTCGGCTGCCTTTCACAATGCAAAAACATATCAGAAGGATTAAGTGAATACAGTGACTTCGAATATGTTCCTGGGACACAATGGTAGAGTTATTCTTACCTCCAAGCCGGTATCGCGGTCGGCAATATCGAGAGCACTTTCAATATGTCTGATATCTGCATACATGGCAGGAATAAGAAGAGTAACACCACTGGACGGTCTGGGATGTTGACGTGAGCATCTGTAAGCATGATCATATAAAGCATGAGGGATACATGATCATATAAGACATGAGTAATAAATTTAATAGCAAAGGGCCCATCGTATATCCCTGTGGAACGCCACTAACATTTCGACTAACTATTGTTGGTTTTGCAGATTTGTTTCCTTTCGTGTAAGTAAGATTTAAGCTAATTGAAGTTAGTACGTTCACGGCAACCAGGTATATAATCATCGCATTATCGCTACATTCTTTTAATGAAAGTAATCATCACACAAAGATTACATTCACGACCCAACGTTTCGACAATCCGGTCTATAGTGTCTTTATCAGGGATGAACCCCCCTTGGAAATTTTCTCTTGCTGCCTGTTATTACTTTGCCATTTGTATTATTATCGTTGATTGTTGTCGTTTAAGATTTTCGACTTAAACAATTCTTTAACGTTTGCCAGACCACATTGTTCGCGCTATTAATACAATGATTTAATGTAGTTTTGCCTTCTTTATAGGCCTGGAAATAATAGGGTGAATTTAATCCAATTGTTTTCTTGTTTAGGAAATCTCTTTGGCAGCATTTTTAATCTCATTATAGTCAGCAATGCATGCATGCAGTATTCCTTTTTTTCTCTTTTATGTCTTAACGGAGCACGTCGTTTGCAATTTCTAAAAAACGTCTTTCCAAAGTCCCACGGCATTTTTGGATAAGGGCAGAAATATATACCTCTCGCCAAAACGGCACGCTCCAGTTTTTAGGAAAAATGAACAATTCACGGCGTCCTAGACAAAAAATAAGAAAGTACACGTTATTAAAATATGCCGGAATTACAGTCGTGCATGCCAATAGAAGCGTTCCGAAAAATGTTGACCAGTTCATTTCCTAACTTGAAGGAACACATCTGAACAAATTCCTCAACAATTTAAAAAGTTCCTAACTTCCTGTTTCATTGACTAATCGAATTCCATATTTTATTTTCGAGCAATCTGATTGGTACATAAATGAAACAAGAAGTTAGGAACTTTATAAGGAGCTTTTCAAATTGTTGAGGAATTGTTCAGATGTGTGCCTTCAAGTCAGGAAATGAACTGGCCAACATTTTTCGGAACGCTTCTATTGGCACGACTGTAACGTATGAATGGGTTCTTTGCGACTAAAGAACAGTTACTTATCAAGTCGAACTACCTTTTCTGTTCCATAGTGCGCTGGTGCAACAGGATTGTGAAAACCACTCTTTGAAACGAAACGAAGTAAATGTTATAAAATATATGTTTATCTCAAGAACTGCCGAATTCGTTTAAGTATATGCGACTGCAAATCTTAAATGAAGATTGTAGCAACTCGAAGAACATTTTATATCCCAAACATATACAATATTTATCAACTGTTTTTAACTATATATAAAAGTACAAATAAGACCGTTTCATAATCGTAAATCTTTGCAAAGATTTTTATTGACTTATTCTTTTGTGAGTCTACTTGGTCGTAAATCAATCCAAAAAAAGGTATTTGGGAAAAACGTTTCTTGAAAAAAGACATACCTGAGAATTAGGTGTTACTTCTTTTTCAATTTCCCTAAAAAGTGCCTCCTAACAAAACAACATACGGTCAGCAAGTTTCTACGAACTCTAGTTAAAGAATGTCATAAAAAATCGAGTAATAATGATTGAGTGATAACAATCCATACAAAGCGAATTAGGAAAAAATAGAAAAAAGAGTATTATGATTACATTTATGATGTCTGTTTGGATTATTATACATATAGGTCTCTCTCCTCCGCAGAGGCTTCGAATGCAAATGCGCTAGATTTTTAAAGATGACCGCTGCTGCTGAATTCAGAAACGCGGGCAAGGGTTAACCCTCGCCCGCGTTACTAATTTCAGCAGCAGCGGTCATCTTTAAAAATCTAGAGCATTTGCATTCGAAGCCTCTGCGGAAGAGAGAGCATATAAGTTGTTTTGACTGAACAAAGGTCCAAATTGCATAGCAATTCTTTTGCATGCAACATGCATGCAGAATGTGTGAATTCTCTTTGATTGATGTATCCTGGATTCTAGTATATAGAGAAATACGTACAGCACTAAAAATGATCCGCACGAATATGTACATCGATAAAATATTCTCACGAGCGTGTCGAAAACAAATAACGTGACGGCAAAAAAGTCCAAAAAATTCCATACCCTTGTCTCAGAAATATATAAGCAAATTTTAATAATCGATTTAAGCCGATATTAAAGATAATTTGATGTTTTCTTTCAAAGTTTCCAGACCATGCATGTCTCCATGCATAGATTTTGGATAAATGAAGCGAGTGCATTTACGGCCAAGGAAATATGTCCTGTAATCTTTGTAATTGTGCACATGTCTGTTCAATCATCTCAAATGTCTGTTTTATCATGGAGACTTGTATACTATGGTTAATTTTCATCCATGATGCCCCAGAATACGAAAATATTTTGTGTCGATACATCTATAAATAGCGCATGACTAGTCTTAGTTGTGATCGAAGTATTAAAATCAAAACAAAGATGAAAATATATCTAATGTACAAGTAAATCACATGCATGCAATTCATAAAAAAGATATAAAAAGCTAATACTGGATCGTCATACGCGTAACAAAAATTAAAAATAAGGCATACTATGTGCAAATCAAAATCGTTAGATCAATTGATTCAGTATAAGGATACAACTCCACAAAACGATGTATTGTGGATAAACACGGCACCAGATGAACACACGCCAGTTTTCAGGAAAACCCGTTGCTCTCATAATTATCTGTGATGTTGTTACCGTTAAGGACTGAAGCATAACACAGAGTAATAATTACTAGTATAAAAAGTTCGAATTCCGTTTTATTATTTCATTATTTTACTCCGTTTTATTTTATTTTTTTTACATATTTTTGTAAAAATATAAACGTATGCACGGTATATAAAAATATGCATAAACTGGATGATGATATTTTGCTGTTTTTGCATGCAGCATGCGTAAACTATATGCATGCAACTTGTTCTAAAAATTAAAAAATAAGGAGGCAGTTGACAAAATAAATCAAACTCAAGCAAAAATATTTTGGTATATATGAAATGAAACTGAATGAAATGAACGAGCGTATATGAAATCATGCAACAGCAACAATGAGTCAGATATCACATCAGCTCCGAGGCTATAACAGTTATAATGTGTCACATATTTATAGAAGCAGAAAAAGCAGAAAATATTGTGTCTGGTAATGGGTTTTTATAGCGTAAAAATGAACTTCTTTTAGACCCACCTCTTTATCCTTTGTAGACTTTTCTTTTCTTTCTTTTTCCTCCTTCTCTTTTTCCTGCTGTCTCTCCCATTCTAACTTGATAGCTTTCTGAAAATACATATAATCGAAAATCGTTCAAACGTTTTGTAGATAAATATAAACAATGTCAAAACGATTGTCTTCAATAGCTACTTAACTTTTCAAAATGTGAATGTATAAAACGAAACGACTCAGACAAGTTACTCATGTGTTTCTAGAACCGGATACTAACCCAAAACGGCACATATAGTTAATCAACGGTTATTAAACCACTAAGTATGTATGTAATCCACACCGAAAACGTCTAATCAGAAAATAAAGGTTGCATGGGAGGAAAAATAAATAGTATACACAACTTCACTCATGAAGTATATAAATACAACGTAACATTAACAGTTTCTTCATTTTTGGCCATTTCTTGTATGTTAATTCCAGTCCTTAAATTTTACTCAAACCCCGCGGGTGCATGTTCTTAAAATGTACACATACATGCATGTAGTATATACGCACATTACATTAGGGGGAGAAATGACTCAGTGCTGCAGAAGCCAACAAATATTCTACCACAGATGTCAACAAACGTCGGGATTACAGTAATGTTTACAAATTTTTTTACCTCCTGCTCTTCTTTTTGTTTTACTCTTCTTTCCTCTTCGAGTTTTTTACGAGCAAATTCAGCCTGTGCCTCTGCCTCGCGTTGAAGCCAAAGCTTTTCGTTGTTTTCTCTGTAAAAAAATTATATTATACACGTTTTAAATCCGTCAGGACGTGCACCAGCTTCTAAAATTGTTAAAGGAACATTGCATGGAAGTGACTGAAAGCGGATGGGAAGTAAATTGCACAAAAGATAGTCTTTGGTAGTATTAACGAAATGGTGGTATTAATGGTAGTTTGTGTATTAATGTGTCTCTAGATACGAAAAAGGCCTATACGCGTTGTTCCGGAAAATAAAGCGTGATCGTATTAATTTGCGGGGTTCCACTATAATTATTTGCATGTAACATTAATTTTCACGACTTATTTCACAGTTTCATTCACAAGCTAACTTTGCCGTAGTCTATATACCTTTCTAAGATTTCCTGTTTTTCCCTATCTGCTTCAAATTCGTCAACTCTCTTTCTGTGAAAGATAAGAAAACACTTGTTTTTGTAAAAAAGCAGGCAACTTTGGAGGCCGTTGCACACAAAACGACGGAGGTGCGTGGGAAAATTTTGAATTTTGGTAAAAACTGATAGCCTTCGTTTATACAGAAACTTGTACAGAAACTTGTTTTGAAAAACTTGACTCAGAACATAGCTAATTTGGCATCATTTGGAATCAAATTAGCTCCATATTGGTAATTAATTTGATACTTTTCTGTGATAAGGTATATCTTGGCTGTCGACGTATTTACTTTTAGGTTTGATTTTTGCTTCACGACTTCCTTCCCGACTACTTTGGATAAAATTGGAAAAACGTGTAGTGTCTAAACCAGTACCTTTAGCTGCATGCACATTTGTATCATTCTTATAAAAAAAACACATAGATTTTACATTTGCTGACTCCGTTATAAAGAAGACAAAACATGTGTTGCTGGCATCCCGAATCCTGGTGAAACAGTTGTGTAATTCCACAACTATTTTTATTAGGTAACAAAAGGATGGTAACTATGTATGTGTAGAATTCCCCTACACGCAGAACGTATAAAATAGATATATTGACTGCTTACTTGTACTCCAGGTCACATTCCTGCCGTGACTCTTCTGCAATGAGACAAGACGTTAGTTTGAATATACATGTATACGATACCTGGATATAGACGATTCAACAAAAATTAAATTCGAAATCAACTAAATATAGGTTCGACAGTGAATCATTAATTTGAAATACAAATCTTGCGCCCCTTTGGGAGCTAAAATGCATTCTAATCGTGCGAGATATAACACAACTCTCAGACGTGGAGGCAGAGATTAAATGAACTATTGTACGTTGAAAAACTCGCAGAAGCCAAAATCATCTTGGAACACGAAAACACGAAAAGACGAAGTTCAATAAACGATGCTTGGCAAACATTCTTTAGTATGCGCCGCTACAGAAGTGCCCTTTAACAAAAATCTGCCCCCTCCCCCCCCGCTTCTCTCGCATCGTTCCTTGATTTACAAAAATATGGTGTACGTTGATAAATTCGGTAATGTCAAATTTAAACTTTATCACAAAAGGCAAATAATACATTGACTAACAGCCAGAAAGAAATAGTCTAGCGGTTGCATAACTTACAAAACATTAATGGTCAATATTTTGCCAATTTTATTTTGCAGTGTACAATTTGTACTTTGTAGGTTAATCTGGGAACACTGAGGTTTAATACCCATTTAAGTCATTGAAACATATCTCTATTTACAAACAGTGCTCATCGATAATTCAGCTTTTATAAACAGTGGTCATTCGCATCATTCTGTCAGAATTTCAGTTATGTAGAATTATCATGACAGCCAATCCTAAAAGGTGATAGTTCCCTTGAATGCTTTCAAACATAGAAATATTTAATCTTCATTTACAACTAACAGTATGCCATGTAATAGTAGCAAAACAACCAGTAAATGTTTAGTGTGATGTGTTTCTAGGAAGGTTGGGGTAAAACCTATTTAAGGTTTAAATAACTTTGCCAGTAGCCCTCCTGGGGTCCCTAAATATCTCTTTAATTTTTGGTTAGACAGTTAACCATTCCCTTTACAAGTTTACTACCAGTAAAATGATTAGTAACAGTATACAGACATACCATTTATTTCAGCATTCTTCCTTGCCTCTGCTGCCTTTTGGCGCTTCCATTTACGTTTTTCCTTTTGTAGAAGCCTTTTGAATAATCTGTGACTGGATAGAAAAGTGTTCCAAAGGTATATTACATGTACAGTATGTGATACTAACTAAGTTCTTTGCTTGAATAATCTCTTCTAACCATTTCTAATTGCCTGTCACAGTTAACTTAGACAGTTAGGCAACACAGCAACTGGGCAAATGTAAAGCAAATAGTTTACAAAATGTTTATGAGTCACTGAAATTATCATTCAAATATGTGATTGAGCTGCATCATCTAAATTGACAGGCATCACATGTGCAGCTGTGAGTAACACATTGAACAATACCTGCAGTATGATTTTCCACTTAAATGTATAATCGGACATTACAAGTTACTATGTTAAACCAAATTAAAAAATTAAAAGATGACTGCAAATATTGCTTCTGCCTTTTGCTCCAAATGAAAATAGCAACAAGCATCAAGTAGGCACAAAAAGACCAAGGATTTTAATTTCATTCCTGGTCATATTATATGTATAACTTTCCATTTGAGCACTGGAATAATTTTTTAAGTGCTATATGAACCCTAACCCTATTTAATCGACCCTTTCAATATAAGAGCAATTGCATACCACAAATGTAAAATTGGAAGGAAAGGGGGAGTATTCGCCTATACTAGGCCTATACTTATGACTTATGGATTAGAGTACCGTTTCCTACACATTTTTTATTCTACAGTTGTGATTCATTGGCACATTGTCATAATAATCATCATCATAACTCTTTTTTGCTGCATTACTCTTTGGTTCAAAAAAGTGGATCACTCAAGAAAGGCAAAATTCATGATCATTCACCTCAATTTCTTCACCGTTTCTTCAGCATTTGTGCTTGCATCGTCCTCCATGTTTCATCCGTGTTTCCACTTTGTACTTTCACGGTTCCTCACCGTCTTCCCCAGGTTGCAAAGCATTATGGTTTGAGCCCACGTGTAGCATTGTTGGTCGTGGAGAAAGTGTCATTGGGTGTCAAACGTTACGTGATGCCCTTGACGTTGGCAGGTCGAAAAATAAAATCACCACTTATCTCACAAAAATGGTCAATAGTTTACCACAATTAAACGAGGGTGGGAAATCTTTTGTCACAAAATCATATTAAACCAACATGCAACGTTGTGCAGTATACTCATCGGTAGAACGGGCTCTTATAACTCTGCTATTTCAACAGAAAAACAAAGTACGATTAAATCATAATCACGATGAAAGATATATACTACAGTTGTAGCCTTGTATATAATTAGGGGGATTATAAAGCTATAACATAGACATTAGAAATAATAACATAGAAATTAGAAAAAAAAGCCATTATCTAGTGTTTTTATTTAACTACATTAGTGAAACATTAACTATTCCGAATATGCAAAAAAAATGGCAAGGCGCCTTTTATGGGGCTGTAAGCAGTCTTGCTTTTTCATCACATCTTATATAAAAACAGTATCATGATGCATTTTCAACCTCACTAGCTAACATACCAGTCTTTTATTCCAACTTCGGAATGGCCCATTATAACGAAACTGAAATTGACTAGCAAATGTTTCAAATGAACTAATTTGTACAGTCGATGTCCGCATATATGCAAAAATTGTGAAAAATGCGGATAAATTGAGTGTTCGCTTTAGAATATAGAGAAAAATACAATACATCTATTTATATATCCGGGTGAATGTTGCGATGTATACTAGTACGAAAAGCGTAAATCTCGTCATATATATAGGATGATACTCCAGATCAAATCTACGATTGAGTTCGAGTAACTTGATCATTACATGATTGTGCATTGTTGACGTTGTCTAGTAGTCTCTAAGGCTGGTCGCACGCTGGAATTCTCGAATGATGCTATTGGTTTGACTGATTAGTTCATTTGCGCTGAGGTAAACACTGTTGGCCCTATAAGAAAAATGCATATGGTATAGGAACATATAAAAGCCAGTAATATTTTGTTTTAGCTAAGGCCCCAGTTACACGATACCGGATAGTAGCATACCGGATTACTTTCCATATCAGATAGGCGTTGCAGTTACAAGGATGCAGTGTGGAAGTGACATGAAAAATTGATCCGGTACATTTCTGTTTCCGTATAATCGCTTTAATCCGGTATGGAATATGTTTGGCGGGAAAAATAAATGGAGATCAAACGATTGCAAAGTTACCGATTCCAAAAGAAATTCTATTTCACGGTCTGTCCACGAGTAATCCGGTAACGGGTAGCTGGGGCTTAAGTAATGATCTGCGAGCCGTACTAACTCTGCCCGGAGATTTTATTTATGCCCGGGAATGTAGCTGCCAAATTGAAGTCGTCCGCCATTTTATTTATGCCCGGGAATGCAACTCCGCAAATATGTCACGGACGTTGAGCGTTTTAGTAACTAATGCGCATGCGTACTGCTTTTGTTTGGGAAAATATATCAACGAAGTAACACTGCTACACTATATCCACATTGCGCCCCATCATATTTATCAACCTCCCATAAACAAAATTATGGTTTCTGAGTAGCGCAAATAAATCTGTAATGATCTCTTTCTGCCTAACGCAAATAAATCTGTAATGTTCTTACTTGGAATCTTTAAAATATCGTTTCAACGTGTCGCTGAAACTTCTTGAATACTTCACAAACTCCTTCTTATGAAATTCTAAATTCTGTGGAGAATAAAAATATATTGCGTTCATGCATTGCGGCAATATGACCACGTAATATGCATGGGAACAGAAACTTCAAATTTGATTTTTGTCTCAATAAGCGCTGTTGAAGCTATTTAAAACACAGTTTTCTGAATAGCTTTAACAAATCCTTTTCAGTTCGTTTACTCTATATATCAACAGAAAACATGCATTACTCACTCTTTTATGTTCCATTATACGGCCAATGGAAGTATAATTCTTCAAAACATCGTTTACAGAATCTAACAATAATTTAATGGCGCTTGCGATCTCTCTAAAAGACATACAAATAACGCGATTGTAGTGCATAATCCCAGAATAGGCGCGTAATGTATTTGAGGTATAGAAAATACCTTCCCTGTTTCTATATACAGTTAAAAAAACCGTATGAGTTTGGAAGAATATATATAAAAGATTTAAGTTCTTCCAAATTACCGTAAAAAAAGGTTAAATAACTGTATATAAACACATTGAAGGGAAATTTAGCATTATAAGTACAAACTTGATTGTTTGTAAAAATTTTGTCCGGTCGTGAATCTCGCTTGGAATTTTACACAAAATTTTCTTGAGTGCTAAAAGTATGAAAAATAAATATTAAAAAACCGTCAAAAGACTACCCACATTCTTTTATCAATGCAAGCAATTGCAAACGCAGTCAATAACAACGTCTGAAAACTGCAGCGTAACGTTTGGTGTAGAATGTTGTAAAATGCGGAAAATATATAGCCTTGCAAGGTTTGATACATACTTTTGTATACGACAATTGTTACAATTTCGGCCTGAATGTGATAACAATTTCCGTGCATATATTACCACAAAAAGTATAGAAATTTGCAAACTTTGGAAGGCTATATTTTACATATATTTTCTATATTTTCCATTGTTCACATTCGACGCGGATTTTCGATGTTCTATAAATACGCGGTCAAAGTACAGATTTGGGGAAAATCGTCACTTACTTTGGGCATTTTTGGTCAACGTCTGAAAACCTGGTTCAGGACGATCGATGTACAAGCCTGAAAAGAATGTTAAATATGCCAGAGTACAGTTATATATAACCATGATGCATAGGTGTTAGCGTGTTAGCTATGTGCCCAGAGGCGTAACGTCGAGCGAAGAGAGCACCCTTTTCTTAAAATGGTACCGGTGCAATGATACTTATCAGTTTTTGAACAAAGGCGGTCGGTAATTTTTTAAATCGTGGCATCAAACATGGTACGTACGGGAGCAATGTATCGCGATTCTTCAAACAACAAGTTTTAGCCCACTTCCATTATATCGTTGCAAGAGTAAAGATGTGCGATTTTTCAGTGGACTTCGTTGGTAAATCCTTGGGGACACCTCCCCTTCCCCCCTCTCCAATTGGAAATAACTCGGTACGCCCCTGTAATATGTGACTGAGGCTATTACGGGTCGTGTTAACACAAAGAACCGGTCGAATGCTTATCAGTTTCCACGCGTGAATGGACTAATGAGCGTTAGTTAGTAAGACTAACACGTACCATCAATTTCCTTCGCCGACAACAATAAAAGAATTTCGTTCATATTGTGAGGAATAGACTCTGAAAATTGAAACGTAGGAAATATAGGAAGACAATTCAGTAAAGTTACAGTACAAGACTTTCTACATGGGTAATGGGTTTATGACTGAATGAAACACTGAAACACCGAATGAAACACTGCATAGTAAATGTGATTGCGTGTACTAATTGGAACGTATAAGAAGCCTATGCTGCGTTCCGGTTGATATTACAGAATTACAGTTCACTGGGCATGAGTTAATTAGTAGAAAATACACCCCCCAATGGATTTTGTCGCATGTTTTCTGCACTAGCTTAGTCTAGAAAGTTTACAGTTAGTCAGCCAATTATCAAGAATTAGCAAATTCTGCGTTTAACATATTACGCAAAATGTAACGTATATGCAAAATGTAATTCAGAGAGTTTTATCAGCGACCGACCCAAGATGGTATTTTTAATAATTTTCCTCTGACAATGCAAAACTAATTGATATTATAGTACAGTTTAGATTTCGGGTGATGTCTGTAATCATCAAACAGAAATGTTATGGTACAAATTGCAGGACTTACATATATATACAGGCTGCCTTAGCACAGGACAATCTGTGCAAAATAAATAATACAACAGTACAGCATGGACATAGTGTGCATACTTATGACAAACCAAAAATGACTCACCTTGCTTAAGAACAGCGGAAACAAAATCCTGTGAAATACCAGGGGCTTGTAATTCGGCCTACACATGAAAGACAAACAAATCACACAATTTTGTAAAATGCATGCCTGCTTGAATGGCTATACTTAAAGCTTTGTACTAGTGGTCTTAGGGTGGAAATAGGGTGGATAGAACAGCTAATGGATTTGTATACAGCTAGAAAAGTTTTGCCAGTCATGCCAGTTTTTCAAACTAATGTTTCATTACTGTTTGTGGCAAATATTATTTTTAGCCACTTATTCACCAATATATGTAAATCACTGAGCATGTACCTTTTGAAAAGCTGTCTGAATTCGATCGAGAATTGTTCTGTCAACTCGATGATCCTATATTTAAATACAATTATATATCTAATGATTTTTTATTTTTAAATGGTAATGATAATAATTTTATTTCTTAACATCAGGAGTGGTGGCAGCTGTATGAGATTGGAAAGGCAAATTTCCAATTGCCAAAGGCAAAAGCATTTACATTGAAAAAAGTAGGTGGCAAAGTTTGCTACCAATCATTTGAAAATCTTTGAATCTTTTACACTCCTGACCATTGTAAAATTAAAATAATATATTAAATTTTATTACTCTTTCCTGTTCCAAAATGACAGATGAGAAAAAAATTATCCAATATGAATAATGTTGCAATTTCAAAACATTTTATAGCATTGATTAATTTTAAAATGCATTTCATAGAATGGTTTGAATGGGTGAAATCTTTGATATATGATGTAATGTTAAATAATTTCAAATCCAAATATACATACAGTAGTCCCCCGCTAGCTCAAACTCGCTTAACTCAAACTTCTCACTAACTCGAACTAAATCCAATTCTCCTTGGATTTGGTAATTAATGTTCTTTATAGTAATTTACTAACAATCTGCCTTAAACTCGAACTTGCTTAACTCAAACTCCTCACTAATTTAAATAAATTTTGTTTTCTCTTGGTCGAATATATCCAGTTAACTTGAACTTTGGTCTCGAATCCTAGATCAGCAAACTATAAAACGTTAGAAAATGGCATTTTGACAACTGGAAACTATCAAAATAATAACAAATTAATCTGTGTATAAATGTATAATTGATTTTAAATTTTAAATTGATTATCTGTAGAGGCACAATCATTATTGATCAAGCTTTTTTAGTTCTTTTTGTAACATCTCTACATATTAACCTCAGTTAACTTTGTCCAGTTAACTAGCTTTTATAGTGTCTCTGCTTTAACTAGTATTTCATTATTATATAAAGCAGGATTTTTTTAGCAAATAAACACATTAACTGCGGTAATCCAATGTATTTAAATATAAACATAATCTGACACCAACCCTGGTTTATAACTTGAACCATCGGTTTAACTCAAACAATTTTTCTTTCCCCTTGGGAGTTCGAGTTAGTGGGGGAATACTGTATTATCATTTCAATTTTCAAAAAAAATGCTATTGGATATAAAGTGGCTGGCTGTGATATTAAAAACACTGACAGGCTAGTGGGCTTAGTTCATAATAATTAACTTCATATGTTAACTATGAAAGTTACACGAAATTTGTTTGTCCTTTTAAAACATAAAGTACTTAAGTACATGATAATTGGCAAGCCAATCAACATATCAAACTTTGTGTAACATGTCATACAGACCATTTCAATAATATTATCAATAATGAGAAAGGTAGATCTTCGATATTCACAGTTATCACCGTTTATAAAAAGTAGGTAAATAATATTTTCACTGACCAAAGAGGTATTGTGTACGATCTACGTTTTATGACTTTGCAAAGGGCTATGGTGTACGTGCAATTACGAATGATAGAGACTATACACAAAGAACGGCATAGAATATACGAGTTGTAATATTAAAATACGATTGTATGCCAGAGTATATTTTAATACCAGAGCTGTCTCTTCAAAAACAGGTATAAGTATGGTATTCAAGGCTAGATTTGGTATTGGTCCTCTCTCCTCTACTTCAGCCGCCATAGTATTTATGAGTTTACCAACAAATCAATTTTTAAAATTAATCCTCGACCACGACCAAAAAACTGAAAAAGAACGTCGACAAGAAATTTTTTTGTAAACAAATCTCTTTCGTTTGGCTTTGTAACCACGCCATAGCTTTATCGCCCTGAGCTATGTAACTTTCGAATCAACTGAACTGATAATTAAGAGGAGATATTTTTCTATGTCTGATATATGCTCAAAACCTCAGTTATATCTTCATGCAACAGCACTAAAATTTTCAGCATTAAAAATGTTTTGCAAACCTGAAAAGCATACACAAAGTATGGTTACTGTATAATCTCAAAATATTGTGAAAATGAAAAGATTTCTCGGGATACGCCGAGAAGAAAATGACACTTGAATCGAAGCTTCTTTTGTATTCATTTCAGTTATAATGGCGTTGACGTTATAACATTCAGTTGTTGCAGCCGCCGCATTATATTTTGTAATAACTCCTTTGTTTGGTGTTTTGCATTCACGAAATACAGTTCAAAACTTAGTTCACAACATAATCTAAAGAATAACGGTAAAATAAATGGATTTTGAGTGGTACGCCGAAAAGATTTTAGGTTTTGAGCGTTTTCCCGCCAAATTACGCCGGACATAATAAAAAATCTCCTCTTAACACAATTACGATTTTGTTGCACTTCATTCGATGTAGGTAAATTCTAAAGGTTTTTATTTCTAGTGGAAACATACACAACTCAATTCAAGCCAGGAACAGTTGAGAAAAATTAGTCAACCGATAGGTCCTCCGGCAGGAATCCAACCTACGCTTGTGTATGTTTCCACTCGAAATTAAGACGGTTTAAAAACATTTAGAATTTATCTACAACGAGTGAAGTGCCGCAAAAACGAAATTGGTAACCCTCAATTTCCTCAAACACACTCACTAACCACGCTTGCTCTTGTCACTTGTGGCTACCTCCACCATAAGTAGCCCAGAAATCTGCGTGTGACTCAGTCTTCGACTACATTGTTTAATGTTTACGCGCGCGGACAGCTTTATACTTACTTATGTAATATATATGTAATATACTTACTTATCCAACACGTACCTGGGGAGAAATAGTAAAAAAAACTTTGGAACTACGCAGTAAAGAACACAGAAAACTACATAGAGGTAAATTAAGATACCTTTAGTAAACTACTAGCCATTTTTTTTGTCGTAAACGACACTGGAAGTGTGGAAAAATCGGCGCATTTTTTTACAAATTTGCTTAATTTTTCGCTGTGACTATGCGGGACGCAAGTTGCCTGATAGCGGTTTTTGGTTTGAATCACGAATGCATTATTTCATTGGCTTTTACAATTTACGAACATCTAAAAAGCCAATGAAATTGTTCACATGACGACTTTAGCCAACGGTGCTGCGCACCTTTTTCCAAGACAGGTGCAAGGCGTTGTGCTGATTTTCACAGTAGCACTATTAACTTTTTGTATTTTCCTGACAGCATGCCATGTTTATAGCATTTCAGTTTAAAGTAGCCAAGGCGTGATAATTTTCAGACCCTAAATTATTTTTAGAACACCTACTATTATTTCCAATTTCACGCTGTGTTGACAGGCTCACCAGTACCCGGCGTTACTTAGGTTTAAAAAATAAATGTTAATTAACAGGTGATTCTATCTCGTATATATACTGTATGGCAAGCGTTTAAGAACTATAGTTAAAAACGAATTTTACATGGCTCCTTTAGTACTCCCTCTTTGGGTACTGACTTTTATCTTAAGATCTCTACAGCCAGGCGAATGCGTCCAAGCTATCTTTCGCAAAAATGATGGGAATTACTCAAGAAATCATGTGATCGAAACAAAACACGCGGAAACGGATTCGGAATGCAGTATGCGTTGCCTTGGGCTTGGGTCGTGTGTCTCAGTGAACTACAAAATATCTGGCATCGGTAAAGGGCTATGCGAGCTCAACAGTGAGATCCGTGTTCAAAACAAATCCAACGAAGACAAAATAAGCATGCGTAACCACGAGTTTAACCACTATTACATCATCAAAAAGGTAAGCGAAAGACAATTTTCGTTACCGTATCGCTCAAAATTTACGACAAATTCGGTGCCCTTCAGACGCCCTGTTGACACAGGCACAATCGTCCTTCAGCAGAGAATAGCCTATATGCTCTGGATGAAGAAGTGGATATTACTTGCTCAATTAAAATTTACGGCAATCTTTCCTTCTTTACATATAGGTACCTCCCAAATCAAGCCCAACAAGCACTCCACAAACATCGGAAAACTCAACAGGTGTAAATTTTAACTCACATGAAATAGTCATCTAGAGTAGTCATCTATAGTTTTCATTGAGGTATTTAGTGTAATATCAAATTAAAAAACTTGGTCGTCAACGTTTCCACATAAATTCAACGCCCATGTGAACGGCAACCTTCCGAAGAATCTTTACAGAACAGTATTTATCGCAGACCGAAACAACATGGGCGGCGGAGACAGGGGCAGCCTTCCACATTTTTGGCTGCCAAAATTATTGAAGTGAAAGTCAGCTTTGATTAACGTTAAGCGTTATTTATAGAAAATTACTGGGGGTTCTATTTAGGACTTAGGAGCCCCCCGGCCCCACTGTCTGATACGCTCCGCGGGCCCTAAACAAGTCCCTCATTTCAGGTCACACTAAAAATCATTTTTCAAACACCCTTCCTTGCAGGTAACACACCGCCAGTTTCAATTGAGAGTTCCTGCACTATGTTACGAACAAAGGATCCGTCAGCTGATACTGGTGTGTATTCCATAAAACCAGAAGGACTCGACGTCTCGATACAAGTATTTTGTAATATGACCTCGAGAAATGGTATCGGTGAGACGGTAATAGGACATGATAGTGAATCGAGAACGTCTGTGGACGGATATATAGGTAGACGTTCTTATGAACGGAGGATTACTTATGAGATCCCCATGGAGCAAATTGTCGCCATTATAGACCAATCCAAGAGTTGTGAACAGTTTATCAAGTACGAGTGCTATGGCAGTTCCCTGTTACTGGGGACTACTGGTTGGTGGGTATCACGCCATGGTTTGTCGATGAAATACTGGGGTGGGGCGGCGGTCAATAGTGGTAAATGTGCATGTGGAATGACCAACAGCTGTGCAGGCGAAGGGAGATGCAATTGTGACAAGAAAGACCAAACATGGCGTGAAGACAGTGGATACTTCACAGACAAAAGAATGTTGCCTGTTACAGAACTAAGGTTTGGAGATACTGGCGGCAATGATGAAACAAATGACAATCAAGTTGGATACCATACACTGGGAAAATTACATTGTTGGGGTTAAGGAGAGAGAAAACAAATACGCAGTCGATAAGAGCCTGGACTGATTGATAAACCAAATTGCATTAAAATTATTAAATTGGACGCAAAATAGCTTTGTGTAGTAAGACTTTATTTGTTGTCCCCCGAGTGATATATTAGGGTTAGTAAAGGCTCCAGGCTTCATAATTTCAGTCGTATTATTGTGAAATATTGGAGTAATTTAGCACTTTATGTTTATATTTATTATTTGTATAACACAAATTTTACCTTGTACAAACCACGTATAGTCATAAGTTATATGATAGCACACTTTAACCAAATGGTTGGTTTGCCGGAGACTTTTCACTCAAACGTATAGCACCAATTAAGATACCAAGAAACAGGAAACAATAGACTGTATGTATAATACTGACATATATGTAAATAAGGCCCAGAGGTCGAACTCTCCATGTGCCAAATCAAATGTAAATCAAACCAATGTAAATGTCAATAAAAAGGTATGTTGAACTGAAAGCATGCTGTAAAATTCCAATAAGTTAAAGTGAGTCGTAAAGGTTGGTTGGGCCATTAAATAACCTACAGTATACCCATCTGGTGTTTTATCATCTTCAGAATATACAATCACCAGATTACGTTTAGGTGAAAAATACAATGAGGGTTTCAACGTTTTCACCAACAACAGGATGTTCATACCACAAACGAAGCTTTATCTTCATTTCTCTAATGAATAGAGACCTGATGGAGACAATTTTTGGGTGAATGATTCATCTCTAAATGTGCTTTGTAGAGGTTAAAGATCTTAATATAATGTACATGATTTTTTTCAGTTCTTTCTTTCAAGAGAGGATCTTTTGTGCTTGACTCCTTATAATGCACAGTCCTGTGGATAATATATCCTATAGGATTTAGTGCCCTAATTTTGAGTCAGGAATACCTTCAATGAGATAGCATTGGATGCAAATGTTGCATCCTATAAATCTCTAGTCTTGATTATTAAATTAATTGAGCATTTGAGCTATACAGATCAAATACACTCTTCTATTATTCTATCCTTTATTTCTATTTAATATACTCAGATAAGGCCCAACGAGGCTAGGCGAGGCTTAGCGAATACTATAACTATAGTAACCTAACTAGTTATGCCCGCTGCGGATCGGTAGGGATGGAGACGGCAGCACGGCGAAGCGAACGAGCTCGGCGAAGCGAACGAGGTTGGCGATGCGTAGTCTTTACTGTCATTTTCAATCATGCGTACGTCCATCAGATATGGAACCTAAACGGTACCCTCTCCATCCCGTGATTACACTGTCACACGGAATCACAGAAGTGAAAGCCGTGGAAGGAAAACATGAACACACACGATGCACACATAGTAAATAATTAGATACATACCGTAGGAGTCTTTGCAAACCAACTGAGCCTAGAGAAGCTAAACTAAAAAACAATAAATGGAAACCATCCCCCGACGGATGGAATGTCAGGGGAAGAAGGCGGGGCGAACGAAGCGATAATAAGCAGATAAACAACAAGGCAAGCCATATAAATACTAAGGCCCGGGGAAAATACCCCCGTGCCAAACACCCGGCTAGGAACCCACGCGAGCAGCGTTGCCAGATCGTGAACAAAGTTCACAGATTTGTGAACTTTTTGCTCTCTTCATGAACTTTTTATGAACTTCGAAGATTTGCAAACTTTTTATGAACTTTTTAAAACAGGGACCGCGGAGCAGGGTGGCTCGCTGGGCTTTAGCCCCACAAATAATTTTTCCGTAATTAGTCTTTAATTTCGAATATTTTTTAGTTCGCTCAAATTTACAAGCAATACAAGCGCCAAAATGCTGGAAACTTTACATAGGGCAAGCATTTGACCATTAAAACAGCGTGGTTATCCATTTCAAAATATTTGACATCATAACCAAAGCATGGCTATATAGTTTAATGTTTGTATATGAGCGCCAAACATGCTGGAAACTTTGCATAGCGCAAGCATTTGACCATTAAAACAGCGTGGTTATCCATTTCAAAATAGTCACACATTGGAGATTCTGAGGACCCTAATAAACTACATTCACCTAAAAGATCAGTTTCACTATAGTCACTTTGATCACAGTCAACGAAGACTTCTCTCCAAATAAGTTGAAGATGTGATATGCCAAGCTGTTGCTGCGTTAGTACAACAGCACCTTTCAAATAACTCAAGAAACCGTACAAACCTCTACGTTCCTCTGTTTATGTGTTCCCACCATCTCCACCGTATGGGCCAAACACTCTGTCCTTGTAAGTAAAAAATGTAAGGCTATCGATCATCCATCCAGACCTAATTTCAGCTTTAATAATTCGTTCATCATCAGCCATATTGAATTCATGGCATTCACTGTTCTCATGATCACAGCTACCATAGACGGGCGATTCACCATTACTGTAGAATATCATTAGGCCACCAATGACAGGCCGGCCATCCCATAAACGAATCCAAATTTTCATTCCTTTTACGAATAAGGATGATTTACCAGTAAATAGTTCATCGCCAAATTTATTTTGCACTGACCCAACATAAACTTGATGAGCATGTTTATGGCCTGATCTTTCTTTTGGGAGAGATGCATCGCGTAAGGTTCCCCACAAGGTAAGAAGATGGTCATCCTGTTGCTTGATTTCTTCCTTTGCTTGTCTTACTAGATTCAGAGAAGCGCTGCCACTAGATTTCTTGAGTTTTTGCATTGATGAAGGTGACAGACAAAGGCAACGAATGTGACGAATAAGCTTACTTAGAAGCTTATCTGATGCTTGCAAATCTTCACATTGATGAGAAACATATTTCAGCACAATATCCAAAATAAAGTCTTCTTGTTCTGTGGCAGATGGTAAAAAACTTTGGCATTAATGTTAGCAACTAAGAGCTTGCTTTGAAGAATCTTCACAAACAATTCAACAGGTATTTCAATGAAATCTTCTAGCAGACTAACACTAGCGAAATTACTAGCAGGAAATTTTACCAGGTGGCTCTTTAACTTTGGTGCATGAAACCGTTCTAACTTGACAAGCATTGCAGGACAGTTAGCCTTATTCACTCTCTTCTTCAGAAAATCACAAACCGACTCTTGAATGAAATCCAATTCGGCCAATTGCAGAAAGTCGCATGCTTCGATAACGCGGAAGACATTGCTGGTATCTAAACGCAATTCCCCGGTGTAGGCAAAATGAAGTATGCATTTCATTGTCGCTCCATCAAACTGTCTAATCTCAATCCTGTCTGCTAGGCTGTATTTGAACAGCCCACTGAAATACAAACTAAACGTATTCAGCACCAACTTATGTGCCATGATCTCGCTTTCCGCCACACGAAGTTTCACATCACAAAGTAGTTCTCTTCTTGTTTTCAAGGTTGGTAGTTGTGATCGTTTAGGAGCTTCCGAATACGACTCAGTCTCTGGATAAATTATTTTGAGGGCCCTTTTTTTGCACTACTTCTATTGCTTCTGACAAATAATCCGATATATCCTGCCACACAGGGACAGCGTATTCCAGCACCGAACGTACTCTGCTTAGATATACTTTCATATATTACTCTGGTTGACCCCAGCTCTTCGCAAAATTCTTAAAGAATACAACTTCTTACTAGCTTTCTTAACAATGTATTCTACGTAGCAATTCCACTCCAAGTCGTTGCTCATAATAACACCTAAAATCTTATTAGTCTTGACTCGCTCGATAACAGTGATTCCAATTTTATTCGGATGGAGTAAGAAGTTTGAGATGTGTAGATAATTTATGAGCATCTTTTTGCATTTAGTGGGATTTAGCTTCATGTAATGATTCATAGCAAAATTCAAATGATTTGAATTGCATTTTAATGCATTGTATTTGAATTGAATTGAATTGAATTCAATTGAATTGGTATGAATTCATTCGAATGGATTGGTACGAATTGTTTCGAATTGGATTGATTTAAATTGAATTGATTCCAATTGAATTGATTTGCATTGATTCTAACTGAATTGAATTGAATTCATTGAAATTGGATCGATTCGAATTGATTCAAATTAAATTCATTTGCATTGATTCTAACCAAATTGAATTGAATAGAATCGAATCGAATTGAATAGAACAGATCGGAATTCAAATGATTTGAATTCTATTGACTTGAATTGAATTGAATTGAATTGATGTGATATGAATTCATTCAAATTGGATTGGTATGAATTGTTTCGAATAGGATTAATTTGAATTCAATTGATTCTAATTACATTGATTCTAACTGATTCTAATTGATTCTGATTGGATTCATATGAATTGATAGGAATTTAATTGGTATGAATTGCTTCGAATTGGATTGATTTGAATTGAATTGATTCTAATTGAATTGATATGCTTTGATTCAAATTGAATTGATCTGAATTGAATTGAATTGATTGAAATTGGATTGATTCGAATTCATTCAATATGAATGAATTCGAATTGATTCCAACTGAATTGAATAAAAAAGAATAGAACAGAAAAGATCACGTCAGATCAAAATTCAAATTATTTGAATTGTATTGAATTGAATTGAATTGAAAATTATTTGATATGAATTCATTCGAATTGGATTGGTATGAATTATTTCGAATTGGATTGATTTGAATTGAACTGATTTGATATGAACTCGTTCGAATTATTATTGGTATGAATTATTTCGAATTGGATTGATTTCATATGAATTGATTCAAATTGAATTGGTATCCATTGATCCAAATTGAATTGATCTCAATTGAATTGAATTAATTCAAATTGGATTGATTCGAATTGTTTGAAATTGAATTCATTTGCATCGATTCGAACTGAATTGAATGGAATAGAACAGATCAGAATCCAAATGATTTGAATCGTATCGAATCGAATTGAATGGAATTTATTTGAAATTAATGCATTCGGATTGGATTGGTATGAATTGTTTCGAATTGGATTGATTTTAATTGAATTGATTCCAATTGAATTGATATCCATTGATTCAAATTGAATTGATCTGAATTGAATTGATTGAAATTGGATTGATTCGAATTCATTCAAATTGAATTCATTTGCATTAATTCCAACTGAATTAAATAGAATAAAAAAGAACAGAAGAGATCAGATAAAATCAGAATTAAAATTATTTGAATTGTATTCAACTGAATTGAGATGAATTGAATTGATTTGATATGAATTCATTCAAATTGGATTGGTATGAATTATTGCGAATTGGATTGATTTCAATTGAATTGATTCTAATTGATCATGGATTGAAATGCATTGATTCAAATTGAATTGATCTCAATTGAATTGAATTGATTGAAATTGGATTGATTCGAATTGTTTTAAATTGAATTCATTTGCATTGATTCGAACTGAATTGAATAGAAAAGAACAGATCAGAATTCAAATGATTTGAATTGTATCGAATTGAATTGAATTGATATTAATTCATTCGAATTGGATTGGAATGTATTGTTTCGAATTGGATTAATTTGAATTCATTCAAATTGAATTCATTTCCATTGTTTCTGAATGAATTGAATAGAATAGAACAGAAGAGATCAGATCAGATCAGAATTCAAATTAATTGAATTGTATTGAATTAAATTTAATCGATTCTAATTGAATTTATATGCATTGATTCAAATTGAATTGATCTCAATTGAACTGCATTGATTTAAATTTGATTAATTCGAATTGTTTTATAAATTGAATTCAATTGCATTGATTCCAACTGAATTGAATGGAATAGAACAAATCAGAATTCGAATGATTAGAATTGTATCGAATTGAATAGAATTGAACTGATTTGATATGAATTCATTCGAATTGGATTGGTATGAATTGTTTCGAATTGGATTGATTTTAATTGAATTGATTCCAATTGAATTGATATGCATTGATTCAAATTGAATTGATCTAAATTTAATTGAATAGAATTGATTGAAATTGGATTGATTTGAATTCATTCTAATTGAATTCATTTGCATTGATTCTAACAGAATTGAATAGAAAAGAATGGAACAGAAGAGATCAAACCAGATCAGAATTCAAATGATTTGAATTATACTGAGTTGAATTGAAATGAATTGAACTGATTTGATATGAATTCATTCGAATTGGATTGGTATGAATTATTTCGAATTGGATGTATTTGAATTGGATTGATTCTTCCGGGTGTGCCAGAAAAAAGTACTCCGGTTTGATTCATAATAACTTCTAAACTAGCTAAGGTATTAAACTGAAATAACTTTCACTAGATAGAGGGAAGACAAACTTAGATTTTGATATATTACAGTTGTATTTTACTAAAAAATTTACGGAGATATCAATGTTCAAAATTGGTAGCATAATTCTGGATGTGTCTAAATTATGCAAAAAATGCCGTATCAAGTATTAATCAAGCTTTTCTCAACTGAAACATGCACTATTAGCAGTAAATAAATGACACTTGAAAAATTGTTTATTATGAAACGAAGTATTATTAGTTATAGAAAACAAGAAAGATTTATTCGTTCGGAATCGCGTGTTCCCCAACACGTATGCACTGCCTAGCCCGTGAGACCATTGCGTCGAAGGAGTCATGGATCATTCGTTGTTCTAGATTACGGCATGATCTGAATTTAATTGAATAGAATTGATTGAAATTGGATTGATTCGAGTCCAATCTAATTGAATTCATTTGCATTGATTCTAACAGAATTGAATAGAAAATAATAGAACAGAAGAGATCAGGCCAGATCAGAATTCAAATGATTTGAATTTTACTGAGTTGAATTGGATTATTATGAATTATTTCGAATTGGATTTATTTGAATTGATATGCATTGAATATTTGAATTGATTCCAATTGAATTGATATGCATTGATGCAAATTGAATTGATCTGAATTGAATTCAATTGATTGAAACTGGATTGATTCGAATTCATTCAAATTGAATTCATTTGCATGGATACCAACTGAATTGAATAGAAAAGAATAGAATAGAACAGAAGAGATCAGATCAGATCAGAATTCAAATCATTTGAATTGTATTGAGTTTAATTGAAAATAATTGAATTGATTTGATATGAATTCATTCGATTTGGATTGATTTCATCTGAATTGATTCTAATTGAATTGATATCCATCGATTCAAATTGAATTGATCTCATTTGAATTGAACTGATATGATTTGATATGAATTCATTCGAATTTGATTGGCATGAATTGTTTCTAATCAGATTGATTTGAATTGAATCGACTGTTATTGAATTGATATGCATTGATTGAATTCATCTGAGTTGAATTGAATTGAATTGATTGAGATTGGATTGATTCAAATTATTTTAAATTGAATTCATTGGCATTGATTCCAATTGAATTTAATGGCATAGAACAGATCAGATTACTATTTTTTTAATTGCATCGAATTGAATCTGACTAAGTTGATTTGATATGAATTCATTCGAATTGGCTTGGCATGAATTGTTTCGAATTGGATTGATTTGAATTGAATTGATTCTAATTGAATTGATATGCTTTGATTCAAATTGAATTGATTTGAATTGAATTGATTCTAATTGAATTGATATGCTTTGATTCAAATTGAATTGATCTGAATTGAATTCAATTGATTGAAATTGGATCGATTCGAATTGATTTAAATTGAATTTATTTGCATTGCTTTCAACTGAATTGAATTAAATAGATCAGATCAAAATTCAAATAATTTGAATTGTAATGAGTTGCATTGAACTGAATTGATTTGATATGAATTCATTCTAATTGAATTGATATCCATTGATTCAAAGTGAATTGATCTCAATTAGCCTTTCTTTCTTCTAAAGGTCTGTTTATTCTAAAAAAATTGCTTTTGACGTTTAAACATAATTTTTAAATCCATTTCAGAAAATTGAAAGTACCCCAAAACGTCATCGTGAGAAAGGCTAATTGAGTTGAATTGATTGAAATTGGATTGATTCAAATTGTTTTCACTTGAATTTATTTGCATTGAATCCAACTGAATTGAATCGAATAGAACAGATCAGAATTCAAATGATGTGACTTGTAACTAATTGAATTGAACTGATTTGATATAAATTCATTCGAATTGGATTGATAGGAATTGATTCCAATTAAATTGATTTGCATTGACTTGAATACGATTCATCCGAATTGATTCGAATTGAATTGACTAGAATTGACTAAAATTGATACAAATTGAATTGATTTGAATTGAATTCAATTGCTTCAAATTGATCCGAAGTGAATTGATTGTAATTGAATTGTTTGAAATTGAAATGATTTGAATTCAAATGATTCTTATTGAACTGAATTGAATTAAATTAGTATGAATTTATTCAAATTGCCATGAATTGTTTAAAATTGCATTGGTTTGAATTGAATTCATTCAAAGTGAATTGATTTAGATTGATTCAAATTCGATACCTATGAATTGATACAAATTTAATTGAATCAAATCGAATTCAACCACTTTAAATTGATCCGAATTAAATTGATTCAAATTGATGCGAAGTCAATTGATTGGAATTGAATTGAACTGATCTGAATTGAGTTGTACTGAAAATGATTGCATTGATTCGAATTTGATTGTTTGAATTGAACTGACTTAAACCGAATCGATCTGAGTTGTATTGAATTTATTCAAAATGGAATGATTCAAATGGATTCAAATTGAATTCATTTGCATTGATTCCAAGTGAATTAATGGAATCAACTAGAAGAGATTGGAATTCAAATTATTTAAATTGTATTGAATTGAATTGAATTGATTTGGTATGAATTCACCCGGATTGGTATGAATTGTTTCGAATAGGATTGATTTGAATTGAATTGATCTCATTTCAATTGTATTGAAATGAATTGAGTCGATCCAAATTGCATTGTTTGGA